AACCGAACGGGCTTTAGATTGCAGGGTAAAGGAACACTTACCAAACCGAGTACAGCGCGAACTTACTCAATCCACCTCGAACGACCTGTGCTCGCGCAAGCCGACGGCGTCCTCCATAGGCAGGCACAACTTGACGACTCGTCACCGGATTAAGCCGTTATCGGCGTTCCAGATATTGTTGCTTCACACAAATTCACGCTCTTTGCGATTTACCAAGGCCGTCGTGGTAAGCCGAATTAGACCAGCTTTATATGTCCAAAGTCAATTAGTTGTCAACATGCGGTTTCCGTGGTCTAATTCCAACAACAATGACCACAACCATAAAGTTGGTTGACTTGACGGTACCCTATAAAGGTTATAAAAAGATCTGTTTTTGCATTGGTACTGACGAGATAATACGAAATGCTACCAACTGCCAATATGCGTCTTGTCATTTCATTGTTCAAACTACTGGAGGGAAGTAATCGTTTTAGATTGATAATTGCGTCCGGTTTACTGAACGACGTCTTATACTGGCTTGAAACCAGCTCGGCACTTTCTGATTCTTCCCAACTGCTTTTTCATAATTCGTTTAAAGGTGTCCTGACTTTATGGGAGTATTCAACAAATTTTGAGCAGAAAGCGGTGTTGCGAAGATTTTAAAAAGTCGACAGAGTACGATATTGAGGTCATACGCATTGATCCAGATGAACAAATTTGTAAAAGTGTCTATACGAAATTGACGATTTCGCAGTAACTAATGTAAAAATGAATACTTAACAGTAAAGGCTAATGTGGAAACCCCGCCAGGAATTGGTATGCGTAACTGGTATGCGTAACTGGTATGCATAAATATTAAATCTAACGTTAAGCCGTTTTCTCTGCACACTGGTTTGAGTAGTTACTGTCATGTCATTCCGTTAATTTACCAAAACAAAGACAAAGTAGGAGGCCCCCATTGTTCCCTTCCCCGGCCTTGACCGCTTACTGCTCCGCGACCATTTGCTGTGGCCAAAAATTGCTAAGCGTTAATGGGTGGTTTCGGGCGCGGAGCTGAGTGATCAGTTACACTACACCATTTCCTGGCCAAGTTGTACTCTTGGGCAACAGAAATAATCTGAGGGGCATTCAACATGAGTCTACTCAAGTAATTTGTTCTGTGCGTAGGATCTGAAGCGTCCCACCTGCACCCCTATGACTTAGTGCGTCTGAGATCCAATTGGCTGAAGGCGACGGGCTATACACGCACACCTACACACCTGCACAAGTGACTGGCGTACGCACGGAACAAATTAATTGAGTAGACTCATGTTGAATGCCCCCTCAGATCATTTCTTTTGCCCAAGAGGACAGCTTGGCAGGAAAACGGTATAGTTCTCAGACGATGGGCTTCAGTTTTCAGAGCTTCGAGCTTTTTCACAATACTAATAAATTTGAGCAGGATTTTCCACCCCGATTTGATGTGGTAAGTAAGATGGAAATTATATTGGATTACTTTATCGTCAATAACCAACGACATAAATGGAAACTACTTGATGCACTGTTTAATTACGAAATCTGGGCGAGCTTCGGGGGTAAAAATGCTTATGTATTGGTGTGTCGCCGCCTGACCAGTAAGGTGCACCATCTTCCACACAATTGGGGAGTTAATTCCTCGGGCAGTGTGTATGAAACATCTGGAAGCAGCTTGAATGCTTACGACAGAGGATTCTCCGTTCAATTACCAGTACTTCTGCCGATGGGACACTGCATAACTCTGAAATATTTGTTACTACCGTTCGAGTGTTATATGCTAGGACTGTATGATAGAAGCGTGGTTAAAGGCATTGGGTCTAAGTACCGTCTACGACACATCTCTTGTTGTTATAGTAAAAGGTAGCTCCTGTTGAAGCGTCGTGTCTCTATCTCATACGTGACTTTCCACTACCATAATTGATAACAATATATCACCTAGTTTAGAAATCTAGCCTACTCTCTACCAAAAGACATAGATCCAGGCTAAGTAAGAGCTTTGTTTGCGGATGAATGTGTCTTATCAATCTTTCACCGGTTGAGTGAACTAGGTATACAGTAGTTTAAGTGTAGTGTGTCAAAAATCTGAAATGATAATGGTCCAACTAATCCAACTGAACCAAAAGATACGGACAGGACTATTAAGGCTTACGATTCTCTAGCTTCTGGCAAAGTAATTGAGGTATTGCGTGCTAGAAAACAGGGTGGGAATAAGGCGGACATGATATCGTCATTAAGGTACGGTTGCAATGCACCCACATTGCAAGTCGTAATGACTATATAGCCTATACCCAACCACATGCACGAGTAGTACAGCCACTTCGACAGTGTAAGAATTAAAGTTGTTGTTCGGATTTGAAACACCTGTGTGCGTTAGGTGAGTAGTATTGTAAGTGAGTACGCCACTGAAGTGTCCAAAGGCCTAGGTGGTGTGTTCCCTGTACTTGCGAAACGCTCTGGAACACGTGTCTAATGGCCCTTGTAAAATCCTAAGTAGCAGTCATACCACTTTAGTTAGTCTTGTTGCTGTGTTGACTCCTTCGAAATGTAAAGCACTGAGTTCCCTTTATCATTCTAAATAAAACAATGAGAAGACTGGTATTGCGAGATGGTACCATTTCGTGTTATCTGTTCACTCGCAAACTAACAACAGATAGATGAATCAAGTGACAGAAAAAGCGAAGATTTGAAACTGGTCACAAGGGAAAAATTACGTAGACGCAACGATGACAGATTAGCATCCTGATCTTAGGGTCATGAGCCCCAAGGAAGCTTCAGGGAGACTGTTAATTGTTTTTGTACACATAGGATAGGGCGATGCCGGTTAAGTGCCACCGCTTCGGCAAGCCTCAACACTTTGGGTTGTCATTACGATAGATAACTGTAAATGTTGACCTGGGGTCAACCTGATGGCCTGATTCGAGTAGATGTCTGGCGATCGATGAGGCCGGCAGCTTAGCTACCTTTTCTCGTTCGCCTGCTTGTTGTGTTGATAGTTTGGCAATCCATTTTGGGATATGCTCTCCAATGCGCTTACCCAAGGATCGATCTGTTCTGCCAATGTAACTACTACCGCAGTTACATGGTGTTTGGATAAGAACCTGTGTGGCTTCCATCACATATAGCGTTATATCGGAGGGGAATTCGAAAGAAGCAATTGCGGATAGGTTAACTGGACTGCCATGGGCAGATCGTTTTCCTGAGCAGCCGTGCACTGTAAACACTTTTGACCTTAAATTCTAAACTGTTCCCGGCCATGCAAGTAATAAATACTATCCATGAGCCCTTCGCAGATTAGTTCTTTGATACTAACTTCCACCGCAAAGCCAGTAACACCGCCTGCAATATTTCGTGCTTACATCGGTCTGCCGATATTCTACACTTAAACCAGCTTTAAAGCAGTATACTCAGGGCCAGTAATCCCACAGCCAATTATCTGCCAATGCTGAACAAAATGTGAGACTAGGAAGGGCCACCCGGCACAGCCGTGTGTGGAAGACTTGAGCATTAAACACCAGTCAACGCTCTCGCCGCAACGTCCAGCTTTCTTAATAATCCTGCTAAGATATCAAACCGTGGTGGCATCTGCTCACAACTAGATAAAGGGTCAACGGACGATATCGTCACCTTCCTGAATGATTCCCAGGTTCCTGCTTAGCCAACTTGCTGTTGATCTGCAGGACCGAAAAGCACAGCACTTTTTGAAGGAAATACTGTTATCGGATAACGGTCAAACTATGCAATGAATTTACTCATAATGGAACCCAACTGATATGCTAAATAAAGCCCTATGGAAGGACATTTGAGTTTAGACGTGCAGTCAACTCTAGGCATTTGATTGAATGTGCGAAGTTTTTATTTGGTTCCAAAAGTCCATAGATACAAGCATCGTTTAAGCTGACAGTAATTGGGCCAATGTGGAGGTAGTATCGGTCAGTTAAATGTGTCCCGGAGCTTAACCCTATACTACACATAATTACTGTGTTAATAGTTGAGTTACATGTTATCGGCAGGGATTAACGAACAATTGATGGGCAACGGTTTCCAGTGAACTCCCTCATTTTTACTCAAATGATCTATGTACAGCATTTGGTTGACTTATACAAACAGGTGGGAACAGGATTCAAACACTTTTGGTGACTGAAAGTTAAACTTTGATTTCCATACCTAATTCGAATTGTCTAAAGTAGAGGAGACGTCCACAGACAACACGGCAACCTAAGCAAGTAAGCTGGAAATATTGAGATCGGAAACTTGCCATTAGAATCAGAATGTTAAATAGTACAGATGAGCAACGACGATATTTTCTAATATGTGGGCTAACTGGCTAATCTGTCTCAATGGTACGGGGTAGAAACAACGCACTCGAATCTGGCCAAACACCATCAAATTTGTTTAGCGGGTATGCATTCCGTCAGTTTTGTTATGCGATATAGCGTGCACAAGACCGAAGATGTTGTAAGCGACAACTAGGAGAATGTATCCTGACTTTAATTTTCTTCCATTCTTCTAACCAGGTAGCTTTGTGTGTGATGAATCCATTCGGTGATGATGATGAGGACTTTCAAACCTCAAGCATTCTTGACTACAATTTAGAGGTCAGTTTTCGATCAGTGTACATGGACGACGGCTCGTTTCCAAAACACCTGTCTTTCCCTCTGGGAATAAAAAAGGAGGATAAAAAGCCAGATGATCTGGAAACATTTCTGGAAGATATCGACTGTGATTTGAACCAAATGATGAGCCAAGCGGTGGAAAACAAGTGAGCCCTCTATTGTAGTATTCTTCAGGTAGGTTTTTGTATTGTTCATGGCTAAAAGAAAACGAATCTGCAGTTCAGGATGTGCTAGTTAGCCAGAACTAGGTTTACAAGTACGGTCCTGTCACAAGAAGCTCATTTCGGCCATAGTGTGGATGACGATACTTGTCTTTTACAGCCATCCGCTAGACGTGCTATTAGCACGTGACCCCTTAGACAACCGGAAAAGGTCACTTAGCTTGATCCTCATTATGCTTTGTTGCATGCAATAATGAGTCACTATTTGATCTAGTCTATTTTTTGTACGTGCCTAAAAAACAAATAGCTGGATGGTGCTTCGCACTTTTAAAAAGTGTGCATCCCGAAGGGATAAGGCCGTACACACTTGTATATGTGTATCCTTGTGAGGAAAGAAAAGCACGATTACAAACATGTTAACAGGAAAGTTATTCGTTAAGATTAACTAATAAGGTGAGCAACCCGAACCCAGATCGTGAAAAGCTGCGGTGCTATATGTACGGATCCTTCATTTCTTCGGAGCAGCTGAGCAATCGGTTAACAAAGGGCCCACCCGCCTTGCTATACGCATCGCCTGAGGCTCCCACAGTCTGCTAGTTCCGATACGTTGACGATCAGCTCGACCATGGATATGCACGTTTTCTGGGGCCATGTATCATATTGCCTCGTCTGCTCTGGTGACCACACCGCAGCCAGTCATAGCAAGCCAGACACATCACAGCGACTGAAATGGTCATGAAGGAGCCAGATTTGTGGTACCAATATGATTCTCCAGTTCATCGCTACAATGTGCACTAAGTGTTTTCTTATCCATTGAAACCGCTATCTCGCTGGTAAGAAGATGTTGCAAGTGTGTGGTCTGGACTTTAACCATTCCACGAAAACTGCCAAAGAGACTGTCATATTGGAAAGGAAGATAAGGGATGGTTTGAGAAAATTCACCTAACCAACGCGTGTATTTCGGAGTGCAAAGAATGCATGAAGTATTTTGTCCTATTCACCCTTCTAGTTGGTGATAAGTTGTTTAGACGCATGCGACGATTGGCAAGGGCATGGGTTGCTTGATGCTATCAGCGGCATGTCCCTTCACTCAATTTTACATATTTGTCTGTTTTTATTTATTATAACTTGGATTTCCTGGTTTCCAGTGTAGAGTTATTGATAGTTCAGGATCGGCTATTTTGCTATGTTGTCCATGCAAGCTTGACTTCCACGCTTTATATAACTTCATCGAATGCCATACGCATCTGCTTGCTAACCAGGCGTACGAGATCTTTAGGGCAAATTTGACGAAGTTCATTAGCCTTTCGTCTGTTGCTTCCTGCCACGAACATCCCTGTTTAAACCATTATAATTAAACGGGCTACGCCTGCGAATAGTGTGCGTAAGTTATGAAGACACGCAATAAAATTTTATTGGCGAACTACCTGCAAAAACGAGTGTATATGGTTTACTCACCCAGTGCCAAGAGTTAAGTTCATCACCACTTTAACTAGTTAACTGTATTGTAGCTTGAGCTGTGGTATGTGCGTGCAGTCATGGCAGTTTATTAGTAGTAAACCATAAACTTAGCGTCGTGAAGGGACACACTTCTTAGTAACTCTTATCAAAGATGGAAAAAACAGGCATCTCATGGATTAGTTGGTGGAGAAAATAGCAGCGTGTCATAGTGAAGAATGGAACTGATGACGGCCTGTCAGAATGCTGTTGATTCCACTGCATACCACCTTCGCTTTCCAATCTATGGAAGAATAATGATTGGCACTAACGCAGGGTCGACAAACGTGAGCCATGGAGCATGTGTGATGTACCAAAAGCGCGTCAAAGAAGACAGTGTTAGTGTTGAACTCCGCTTCCAGCTATAGACAAGGCCTAATCATCTTGCATTCCAAGCATATCAGTACTAATCACCATTAGGTTAGATTTGGAAGTCGTCTTCGACTCCAAGCTCTGTTTGCCGCAGAGGTAGGTAAAAACCATCGAAAGCAAGCCGACATGAAGGTAAAGGATAATGGGCACATATTGGAGTTAATTAAGCACAGTTCAGATGTAAATGAACAGGTGCCAGTGACTTCACATTTGTTTCAAACATTACTTCCAAATCTGCCCTGGATGACAGGTTCCCAACTCCACTCTGTATCGATACCTCCCGAACACTAGTCGCCTGTGTTATCCCTACTGCCTGGTAAACACTAGATCGTTCCTCTACCTTATTGACTGACCTACGCTACACATGTGCATCGGGTGCTACATTCCTCTCCGACACAAAAGCGCCAATGGTCATATTGTTAGCATCCAACCAGTCAAGCCGCTTGTCGATTGCTTGCCTGATCATTTCCACAGCAACAGTCGTAACATGTTCCAGGATATGATGTCACAACTCTCCGACTGAAGCGGCGCAACTGACATCGCCAAGACGGGTAGCCATCGCCTTTTTCAACTCCATCCTCTTCACAGCAGCACCTAGAAAAAAACATTACATTTGCGCCACTGATTCACAGTAGATAAACAGTGCAGCTTTAGAAAACTACATGTTCAACTTGATCCACACCAAGTTTTGATGAGTCCTGTCCTCAGCTCCACGCAGTGCACATGTCATGCGTACTTCACGCATGTCATGCTAGCGTACGATGAGGTAATTGAACAGGTGAGCACGACTATTCCGTGGGTGCATCTAAGTAGCAATACCATTCATACCATTTGCAAACGGATTTTTCTTGATCGTCAGGCCGTGGGCGACACAAAGTGAGAACAGCTGGTCTCCGTTCCCATAGGTTGTGCTGATACCATACAGACCTATTACGTCTGTGCACACCGAGGCATCATGCCCAACGAGCAAGTTGGAACCACCCAGTGGGAATAGCCGGTCGCTCCTCGACCCAGGTCGTAGCACAGCGAATAACTGAGTGGCACCGTAGTGCTAATAAAAGTGGTAATTTTATCTCATCCAAGTCGCAGGCGAAGTGTCATCAATCGTGAACTGATGCCAGTCGGCTCTGCCACCAGCCGGCCATTAAGGCGGTCGGATAGAGCAAATCCGAGTCCATTTTCACGTGGTGCTGTGGTGTAGTTTCCCACCCAGTAGAACATGTACCCAGCACCAGCCTCGTGCAGCTTGCCTTGATCAGACAGATGAGTCACACTTAGTACGCTAATATCAATGCCGCTGAGCCCAAGTTCCACTGTCATCAATGCAGTACGTCGCATGTGACGTTCATTCCACTTCCAATCGAGTAACGTGCACACGCTGCAGCACTCGATGTTGAGTGCTTTGCACGAGGGCATACAAGTAGGCCCGGCAATCGCTCATGTGGTAACCCGGAGTGGGGTTTGGTCGAATTAGGGACGAGGAGAGAGTGTTCAGAAGAAGAAGAAAGAAGAGAAACTTCATCTGTAGAATGTTTTCTTTTGTCCACCCCGCTGTATGCAGCTGATAAGGCGATCCTTTTCGCTCACTCACCACTGCGCGGCAGTCGATACAGCATGCCATTATCAGTATTGTCGTAGTTCATGGTTTGGTTTTGGTGTAGTGTACTGCCATGTTGTCCATACCTGAACATGAAACTACCCGGGTCCTCAGCTAAAACCTTCAACAAAATGTACTCCGCAGTGGCAGCCAGCCGTACACCATGAGTCAGCTAACCGACTCAAGTGGAAGTACGCCCTGACTTTTAGCCAGCGGTAGCGTAATCCAACTCCCGCCCAGCTATCGCCACGAGGAGGCGTCCGAGACATGAGTCCACGATACAACATCACGAGAAATGGGTCGACAGTCCTTTTAGACCTAGCCACTTCAGGCCTCAGCTAGCCATGGATTCTCCCGCCTAGAGGACCCACTGGTTGGCGGCACACGATTTCGGATTTGCCTGTCACTGTGGCCAGCCACAGGACGCCTGCGCCTACAGAGGGACCAAGGGTGATTTGCGCTGCACCACCCACAGCTATAACCACACACCCCATATCCAGTGTAAACCCGAAGGAAAAAGACCGGGAGACAGGTGGATGGGAGCCACGTTTCATAAACGGAGCCGGCCCACACTGCTTCACAGGCAAATACAAGCACGCTGTATTTGGCGAATCAAGCGCACACAAGGCGGTGGCTGGACCGTAGTCCGCTCCACACTGAGTGCATGGAACTGCTCTTTGAGCCTAGCACGGCCACAAGGACAGTGCACCCCGTCCCCTCCAGCAACGACCAACTGTCTCCTAGAGAAAGTATGAACGAGGTAGTGGGTAATAGACAGGTAGGCACCTTGTCCACATGCACATCAAGCGCAACCCCACCGGGGATATCAGGCAACAGCCATTCACTTTAACCGACAAACTGAAATAAAATATATCCAACAATGCATACATATACGGTGACATAACTCTTCCCTAAATTACCATATGAAGTAAGTTGGTTAGCAACGAATCCGCGATAAGTAAGCAATGTCCACAAGTTATTTACAAATGCTACAGACGTAACAAAGTTACCGAAGATAAGCTCAATTAGCGTTAGCAACGTGGCCAGTTAATATAACATTATTCAGGTAGGCAGAACAAACCAAATAAAGTGGAATGAAATGTATCCAGCTTAAAAAGACCTAGTTGGAGGAGAACCCATTACTGCCTTGAGAATACCCACTTATATTACCCTGGAGTGCATCGCAAAGGACACTGGACAATAATGTTCGGGTTTTGAACGGATAAGGCCCTTCACAACATTGTTTGCTTCTACACGGTAGGGACGAAGCTAGCCGGGTAGCTTCAGTGCTCCACTTCTCGTTTGTGGAGACATGCTTCCGCGAATTTGATGTTTTCCGTTCATTTGACGAGAGACTGAGCATAGTTATTCCGAGTGAGCTGCAGTCAGATATTTCACCTGTTTCTCAGCCACTGGTGTGAAGATGCAGGTCACATTTCTTGACGGAAGCTTTGGTCTTTAGGAGTTTATATGCTTGTCAGCATTGCACTGTGACAACAAATTTGTTTCAGCAATCGGACCGA